AGTCCTGGGGAAGATGGCCATGGCCCCAGGCCCTTCACTGGCACAGGTGTATGCTAGCCCCGGGGTTGTGGCCGTGTGGGAATGGCAGGATGGGCTGGGCACCTGGCACCCCTACAGCGCTGCCGTCTGCACCTACATCGAGCAGCAGTTTGTCCAGCAGAAGGGCCAGCGCTTCGGGCTCGGGAGTCTGGCCCACAGCATCCCCCTGGGCCAGGCTGACCCCTCGCTGGCCCCGTATATCATCGACCTCCCCAGCTGGACCCAGTTCCGCCAGGACACTGGTAAGACACTTTATGCCTCTAGTATACATCTGAGCACCTGCACTGGGCCAGGTGTGGCGCTGGGTCTTGGGGTGATTGACATGACTTGCCCTGAGATGCCCATGATTGGGAAGTGGGTGCTGTGAGAACAGCGCCATACAGCGTGAATGCACCTCGTGGTGGTGGGAGAGGAGCTGTGGGAGCACATCGCAGAGGGTCCTTCCCCCTTGCCTCCTAAACCAAACATGCTTGCCTCAACTCGCAGAGATTGCTGGGTCTCTGGCAGGCCTGCCCACACGGAGGTTACATGCCACAGTGGTTCAGAGGGCCCAACCTGGCTCCGCTGTGCAACGGCTCTGTACCCTAGACAGGCACCTACACTCCTCTGTGCATTTGTGTGTTTTTTGTTCTGCAGTGTGTTCTGATCAGAATGGGGCCACCCACTTCCTCTCAGAGCTGTTCTTTCCTCTAATTCAGTAGTTCTCAGTTGGGGTGGTTTTGTCCCCAGGACCTTTTGATGAGGTTTGGAGATGTTGGCTGTCATGACTGGGCCGGCACAAGTGGGGGTTGCTACTGGCATTGAGTGGGCGGAGGCCAACACCCTACGAGGAGGCGTAGGACTGGCCACAACAACAAATTTTTGGCCAAGATGTCACCAGGTGCTGAGACTTGAGAAGCCTGCTCTCATCTGTGCCAGCTGCATCCTAGAGTCTGTGAAAACCATGGCTCCCAGTCGGTCAGATGCAGACAAACGTCCCTGTCTTCAGAGTCAGCAGAGAAAGAGCAGACAGGATAAATACCATAGAAAGTGTGCACTGAGGTAGAGATTAGCAGTACGTGCTCGTCAGGGAACGGAAGTGGCAAGTGTTATAGAAGTTGGTTTGAAGGTTGCGCTCAGGTGGCCAGGTCACCAAGAAGGGATGGGGATAGGCCTGATGGAAGGGCATGAAGGAGGGGCGTTTGCAAGGCTTTTCAGTCACCAGAAGGGGCTTTGGCTTTTATTTTGAAAAGGGGAGCCCTGGGCGAGTTTGGGCAGAGGAGTGCTCTCATCTGATTTGGGGGCAGGGAGGACCCCTAGCTGCTGTGGGTAGGGGCAAGGGCTGAGGCAGGAAGCCTAGTTAGAAAGTAATTGTGGTAGTCTATTATTTGGCAAGTGCTGTTGAGAGTGTAGCCCAAATGGATTTTTTTTCCTCCTTAATCTTTAGGTTTGGCTTGTTAAGAATATAAGGGACTGGGCTTGGTGGCTCAGCCTTTAATCCCAGCACTCTGGGAGGCTGAGGAAAGTGGATTGCCTGAACCTGCGGGTTTGAGAACCATCTGGGCAACTTGGCGAGACCTCATCTCTACAGTAAATAAAAAATTAGCCAGACGTGGTAGCCTGTAGTTCCGGCTACTTGGAAGGCTGAGGCGGAAGGATTGCCTGAGCCCAGTAGTTCAAGGCTGCGGTGGCCGGGACCGTGCCACTGCACTCCAGTCTGGGCGACAGAGTGAGACTCCAACTCAAAAAAAAGAATATAAGGTTTAAGGCCAGGCTTGGTGGCTCAGCCTGTAATCCCAAAACTTTGGGAGGCCGAGGCGAGAGGATTGCCTGAGCCTGGGAGTTTGAGACAACTTGGCGAGACCTCGTCTCTACAATCAAAATAAAAATTAGTTGGGTGTAGTGGCATGCGCCTATGGTTCCAGCTACTTGGAAGGCTGAGGCGGAAGGATTGCCAGAGCCCAGCAGGTCAACACTGGGGTGGCTGTGAGTGTGCCACTGCACTCCAGCCTGGGTGACAGAGTGACTCCAACTCAAAAAAAAAAAAAGTTGAAAAAAGTGTAAGGAATATTAAATCTCCCCTAATCTACCACCAAGAGAAAGCATACAATTTACACTGAGATGCATTTCTTCCCATCTAGCCATCCAGGCACGTGTATTTAAGGAACTGACAATCAGACTAAAACGTTTCCTTCTATTTTCTTGTATTATGCCATAAGCACTTCCTATGTCTCTAGATCTTTGTAAAACTTTACTATCACGTAATTCTCTGACTTCTCAAGTCGCAACTAATGGAAAACACCCAGCCAGGCTTGGTGGCTCATGCTTGTAATCCCAGCACTTTGGGGAGTTGCAGGCGGAGAGGACTGCTTGAGCTCATGAGTTCCAGACCAGTCTGGGCAACTTGGCGAGACTTCGTCTCTACAATAAATCAAAAAATTAGCTGGGTTGTGGTGGTGTGTGCCCGTAGTTGCAGCTACTTGGAAGGCTGAGGTAAAAGTATCGCCTGAGCCCAGCAGCTGGAGGCTGCAGTAGCCATGAGTGTGCCACTGCAACCTGGATGACAGAATAAGACTACAACTTGAAAGAAAGACAGGGAGGAAGGAAGGAAGGAACATTCTATCTTAGTATTCTTTTGTTTTTCAGTCTGAGTCTCCTTTGTTGCCCAGGTTGGAGTGCAGTGGCAAATTACTTGCATTACAGGCTGAGCCACCGAGCTCAGCCTTTTCAACTTGCTAAAGTGAGATATGAAAGCTTCGTCATTAGAAATATCATTTCTTTTTCTTTTCTTTTTTTTTTTTTTTGAGTTGAAGTCTCACTCTGTCGCCCCAACTGGAGTGCAGTGGCCGCTCCCGGCCACCGCAGCCTCGACCTGCTGGGCTCTGGTGATCCTTCCGCCTCAGCCTTCCAAGTAGCTGGAACTACAGGTGCGCACTACCATGCCCGGCTAATTTTTTGATTTATTGTAGAGATGAGGTCTCACCAAGTTGCCCATGCGGGTTTTGAACCCACAGGCTCAGGCAATCCACTCACCTCAGCCTCCCAAAGGCGCGGAATTACAGGCTGAGCCATCAAGCCTGGCTAACACTGCTTTTATTTTTTATTTTTTTTATTTTTTTATTTTTTTGACTTGGGGTCTCACTCTGTCACCCAGACTGGAGTGTAGTGGCCGCTCCCGGCCACCGCAGCCTCGACCTGCTGGGCTCCGGCGATCCTTCCGCCTCAGCCTTCCAAGTAGCCGGAATTACAGGCTCACGCTACCACGCCCGGCTAATTTTCTGATTTATTGTAGAGATGAGGTCTCGCTGCCCAGGCGGGTCTCGAACCCGTGGGCTCAGGCAATCCACTCACCTCAGCCTCCCAAAGGTGCGGGATTACAGGCTGAGCCACCGAGCCTGGCTAACACTGCTTTTTTTTTTTTGAGTTGGAGTCTCACTCTGTCGCCCAGACTGGAGTGCAGTGGCAGCACATGTCTAACACACCACGTATTTGAAGTACTTACATTGAGACTAACTTCCCTACCTTTACTCAGTAGTAAAAAAGTAAAGCTTTATCTAGTAAAATTGCATGTTTAAGAAATTCTTAACTACAGACACCTA